GCAGCACCCGCGGATATAACCGCCATCCGCGCATCACTAGTCTGTGCACTTGCAGACTATACCTGGCTGCATTTCATTAAAATGAAAATGCTGGCCGTGCACAAGCAACATAATCAACAGGACATCCACTATTCAGAGTGAACTTTCCAAAGGCCAGGAAAGGACAATGCACGGTCAAACAAGTGAAGACACCACCAACATTCAGTAAGTAACTTTTTTTTTTATTACTTTAAATTAAAATAGAAATTAACAGTGTTATTGCGCGTTTTCTTGTAAGTTAGGGTACAACAGTTTACTATTTACAAATAAATGTTGTATTATTGCACAGGGTACTCGGATGACCTGCAGGACCTAATATTTGAGCATGTTTCTGTGGACCCTGCTCCATACATGGATGAGGTACTGAAGATACCCATACCACCAGACCTGTGTGCGGAGTATGAGCGGCCAGACAAGGAGGAGGTCATCTCCACCATGATGTCCAGATTTAATCAACAGCTGGTCTGGAACCAACATATCTGCCTACACAGGCTGGAATCACGACACGTACCCGACGGCCAAGGAAACCCCAGCACCAGCTCACAAAGGAGCGATATGCCAGAAACCTGTAACGACTAAAACACAGGCACATGGTCAATGGACACATAAGCATTTATTTTTCATCAGTGTCTTTGTTTTGCATACAAGCACAGTCTATGATTCATCTTGTACTTTCTTATATTTCTATACAGACTGTTAAATATTCATTTGTTCACAAGCACAATCTAAGGGTGCTTTCACACTTGGTTCGATTGCTTGGTCCGAACCCGCTTCAGTACATAACGGCACTTACGTCTGCCTTACGAATGTAATGCAAATGGTCTAAAGTACTCTGAAGGTGAACAGAAATTAGATATACAGCTCTCTGCTTACAGCGCATCAGTCACGCTCGTCAAGAAAGTGAGTGAAACACACATTTTTATCAAATAATACGTCATTAATAGCGGTTCACTTCCGGGATTTGGTACGATTGCGTTCACATCAGCAGCGAACCGTACCGGAGTTCACATCCAAACGAACTGAACTCTGACGTCAATCGAACCCGGGTGCGCACAAGTGCTAGTGTGAAGGCACCCTAAGACTCCTGAAGTTCTTTCTTTCTTTTGTATACAAAATGTCAAATATTCACTAGTTTGTTTACAGTTTATTTATTGTTTTTGCAGAATCTGCAATGTTCATTTGATTACAAGCACAAAGTAAGATTCCTCCACTAATTTTTTATACAAATTGTGAAAATAATCACTTTTGTATTTGCAGAGTATATTGTTATGACATTAATAAATATAACGTTTGTTCTGCCATACAAGTTGTCAATTTCATGGTTGCAATTACGAATATAATTATGTTTTTACTTTTGTTCAGTCAGTATGTGGAGGTTGATTGTAAATGTAAATATAGTATTATCGGCCTTGCATTACAATTTTCAAACTTGAATAAAAAAAATAAAAACAACATTAAATTTTCAAACAGTATTCAGTGACACTTACTGTACAATTCCACGTAGCCGTAAGGTTCCATAGTCGGCTCGATAAATGTTGTATGCGTTCTGAAGAGAATACACGTTTAAACAAACAGGCTCCAGTCCAGGATGCTCAGTCATACAACTGGGAGTCTGTTCAAGCTGTTGCATCCGTCTTTTCACCTTTATTGGAATAAAATTCGTAACAGCAAGATGACAGCGGGATCAATTATAACCGTAAGTTAACTAAACTATACCTGTTCTACTTCCATGCAGCATATGTTCTCTGGCTCTGTAGGTATCTTACAACAGTTCTCACACGAACACCTACAGCGAGTTATTGATTATCATGACGGAACATGTTAAACGATTACTTAAAGTCATCTCCATATGAACTACATAAAAACGTCAACTAACCATTCAGAAACTTCCTGTTGCATTCTATGTGTTGTCACTTCTTCTACAGTCTCTCTTTCACGGTCCGATTCCGGTTCATACATATACGGCTGAACACCACTACTTGCAGTTTCCGACATTTTCATAGCGTGAGAGTGTCCTGTTTTGTTATTGCTGTCATGCAGGAGCACAAGCTCTAGAAGCTCCGCCCTAGTCTGAAAAGGGGGCGGGAGCACCAGCTCATTTGCATTTAAAGGGACAAACACAAAAACAGCTCGTTCTGGCTCATACCCTAAACGTGGCAATTTGAACAAGCTATAAAACAATTATCTGTATGGTATTTTGAGCTAAAACTTCACATACACACTCTGGGCACATCAGAAACTTTTTTTTTTATCTTGTAAAACGGGGCATAATAGGTCACCTGTTTTGTTCCTCCGATATTTTCCTCTTTTTTTATCTTCCAGTTCTCTCTATCTATAGTCGATCTGCTAATATCTGTCTGTGCACTCACACCCCTTACTGTTGACACATCAGAGACTTATTTTACATCTTGTAAAAGGGGGCATAATAGGTCCCCTTTAAAGTGTAATCTAATAAATGTAATGTACAGGTCATTCAGTACCTAAACAAATGCATATGAAGTGTCTGTATGCTTAGTGTTCTTTTATTCATTTGTAGTGCTATTATTTTTTTATTTATTTTTGGATAATCAGGCCATTCAGGGCAATTAACTATGACTCTGACTGACTCCCTTCCAAGTGCATTGACTACTGAACTAGGGAGGTGACTGAGATGCACCCAGAGATTTAATTTGGATATATTTTTCTTTCTGCTAATTTTTTTCTCATTTTAATCATGACAGATTGTCCAAACACAGAAAAACTCCTGGTGAAGCAACTGAGACCCGTGTGACACACTATTATAATGATGGCGTTTATTAAAGAGGAGCGTGAAGACTTCAGGATTGAAGAAGTTTTCAGTCTGAAACAAGAAGATACTGAAGAACAAATAGGTTGGTTTTCAATATCAAAGCTGAACTCACTACTCATTTGATACTAATGCTACCTTCAAGTGCAGCTGAGATGTTACTTCCATTTGTTATGTCATGCATTACAGTGTTTCCCACAGACTTACACTCTATTTGTGGTGGCATATATATGCAAATTCATTCTCTGCCAGCAGGAGGCGCTTGTAGAGCGGGAGAGATCGAGGTTTCCCCGGTAATGGCTGTAATCAAATAAGTGCTGCGCTCACAAACGCTGCTTTATCAGACATTACATACAAGATGAAATGAAAATGACATCCAAAATATAAAAATATATATAAAATATAAAAACACCCGCACCGGGTTTCGATTTTGAAACGTGCAGTGCTCATTTTTATTTAACGAAATTTATACCGTATTGACCCAAATATAAGACGATGTTTTTTTCTTGGAAATACATCTGAAAAAACGCGGTCGTCTTATATTCAGGGTCTAGACTTTGACATGTCAATAATACACCCACAACAATAGGTGGCGCCAAATACGCATAAAACGAGTGTGCCATGAAATACGTAATGTAATGCGTGTTGTAAAGATCGCGAGTAAAAACAAAAGAAAAAGAAAACCTTACAGCTGCATGAGTCGTGACTGTCACATTAGCCTGATGGGACCAAACTCCCTTTGTGATTTTAAAACGTAAGACAGTACCTAGATTTGAAGACGACAGTAAGATTTAACTTCTACTGTTAAAGGGGTCATATGATGCGATTTCAAGTTTTCCTTTCTCTTTAGAGTGTTACAAGCTGATTGTGCATAGATAAGATCCCTGAAGTTGCAAAGACTGAAGTCTCAAAACCAAAGAGATATTCTTTATCAAAGTTAAGACTCTGCCACGCCCCCCTAAAACGGCTCGTTCTAACACGCCCCCACATATCTACCTCACTATGTGGAAATATTAGCATAATGCCGCCCAAATGTTCACGCAAAGAAAGAAGGCTATTAGATGGATATCCTAAATGTCCTAATTCAATTTTTTTTTTTTTTATGGTATATCAAAAAGTGTATATTTTTTAAATGTGATTGTTGATACATTTTACCAGTTTTTACCATACTTTCAAAACAAAAATTAAAATAGGAAAAATATGCAATATGAAAATAATTGAAGACAAAATGTGTTTTACTGAGAAAAAACAAGATTTGGTTTTCAAAAAGCCTTTTTCCAAAAGGTACATCTGGAAAAAGGGGGGTCGTCTTATAATCAGGGTCGTCTTATATTCAGGCCAATACTGTCATTTAAATAATGCATATGGGTAGTTGACAAATAGGCAGTAATAAATTTTTTTTTGGTAAAATACATTTTTTGAAAAAGAAATTCATATATTTATGTAGTCTGAAGTCTGATCTTTGAGAAAATGGAAAGGGTCACTAAACTTCGTCAATTCTTTCACTGCTTTTTTAAACATTTTTACTGAACTGTACCATAAATTTGTCCTATGGTGTGACATAGCAAAACTTAAGAAAAAAACAATAATCATAGACTGTAAAAAACATGGACATAGTGTTCTTGACGCCACTCGTAGGTTTCTGAAGAGCATTTTTGAAGCCTTAAGTGGGCGGAACTGACCGCCGCCATCTTGGCAGCACATCACCGCGCGTCACTCCTGGATAATCGAAAATGGGCAGAAAAGTGGGATGTGGGTGAAGCTGAGGTGCTAAAACCATGCCCACCTCACTCGACAGCAGTGCTGCCGTGCAAAGACAAAAAAAAAAACATAACTTTGTTTTTGGGCGAAAATTAGTTATTGATAATTTTGGGACATTCATGACCTCCTTTATCATGTGTATAAGTGTCTTGGAGAAAATCCCAGGAGAAACCAAGGCAGAACACAGTATAACATCAGTTACCGCTCTTTGACTTAGTTTGGAACGCTCAAATTAAATTACGGTGCTCTGCATTTGTTTAGCCGCTCGTCAATATTACTGTGCCAGCCTGGAGTTATACCGTATTCTGTCTTTGTTTTACTGTCCATTAAAGTCTGCCGCATTTAAATTATGGTGTGACTTGTGTACTTTTCACTCTGATACCCTACACTAGCGCGTTAAGGTCTTTTGCCTTTGTAGGGCAGTATGGGCTAATAATAAGCCAACTGGCGCTCGATACTTGTGTTTGATGAAACGCCTCTTTATTTACAAGTGGTAGTTGGATATGCAGGTGCATCTCAATAAATTAGAATGTCGTGGAAAAGTTCATTTATTTCAGTAATTCAACTCAAATTGTGAAACTCGTGTATTAAATAAATTCAATGCACACAGACTGAAGTAGTTTAAGTCTTTGGTTCTTTTAATTGTGATGATTTTGGCTCATACTCTCCAAGACGAATTGTTGAATAAGGTTGAGTTAGGATCCTTGCTGTCTATGGGAGGGTCAGAGAGCTCTCAGATTGCATCAAAAATATCTTAATTTGTGTTCCGAAGATGAACGAAGGTTTTACATGTTTGGAATAGAGGCTGACATTTTTTCGGGAAACAAAATCACTATTAATCACGTGGTTGGGACGGGACAGGAAAAAATATCAGTGGGAGTGGGCAGGACCGGGAATCGTAATAACACTATGATACCAAACTTTATACACAAATATACCTTTTATATAAATAAACTATAAACTGTATATTTTATTTTTGAACTCTATTCTAGTTGCCCTGTCTCTTTATGCTCTCCTCCTGTTTGCTTTGGTGTGGCTGGTTAAGTGAATGACGTACGCAGTCCGTGATGGACAGATCGTTAACGGCTGGTCAGTGTGGTAATACAGTACATCGGGCAGGACATCCAAACACCCACCTATCATTCATCGACCTCAAATATGGCTTTTCATCTGAAAGATGTATGTCGGCTGGTCAGTGTGGTAATACAGTACATCGGGCAGGACATCCAAACACCCACCTATCATTCATCGACCTCAAATATGGCTTTTTCATCTGAAAGATGTAACGTTATGTAGTAACAACTTTACATGGCCGCTCAATCTAATGTTAACCTACAGAAATGTGCGCTATTTTGGTCATACAGATAAAAGTAATACATCTTTCGAATCTGTAAAGACTCTACGTTTATTTGTGTGCACTCAGAATAACAACGAAACGTAGCGCTTCTGTAAAATAATTAAAGCAAACAGCATGCGCTTTCTGTCGTCTCGGTCATGTGAACTTGAGCGAGAAACTTCGAAATTCCGTGTATGAAAAATAAATCTATAGAGAGTGAAATGTCTACTTTCAAATTAAAATCCAACAGAAAACGTGTGTTAGCATGGATGACTTACATGGAATTGAACAGTGTGCATTGCACACACATTCATTCTTTAAATTGGCTTTCAGTTCAATAAAATAACAAAACTACATTTTTGTTTTTTATTCAAGTAAAGTGGGCATGCTGTGATCTGTACTGTATTTTTTTTTACTGTAACTGACAGATTCCGGCCAAAAAAACACTACACGGGAGTGGGAGGGAATGGGAGTCATTCTTCCGGGATTGGGACGGGACGGATGACAGAATTTTCATTTTTGTGTGATTACTGTTTAAAAATAAACAACAGACAGGAAAAACTAAGAAAAACATTAAAACAACTGGAGAGCTCCACACCTAGGCAGCCATCCGCAGTGCCATCTTAAATCAAGATTTTCATACAAAATCAGTAATCAAAAACTGATACTGATACTGGTGTTGGAATTGGCATCGATATCAGTTGGCATCACGTTCTTCTGGGTTTGAGGAGTGATGTATCAATGGTACATCAATGATACCAAGACTTTCATCCGTGACTGCATCCAGATGCTCAGTCAACGACCAAAATCAAAAACGTCACCAGGCCACACCTGCTCTATACAATTTTATAAGTATAATAATATTATAATACTTAAAATACTCAATGTTCTGTACAGAAGGATTCAGCTAGATATTATATTATTATTATTCTTATGTTATAATATTATTATAAGTATTATAAGCACACCATCAAACCTCAAGACTTTGATACTCAGTATCATTCCAACACCTACACAAAGCCTATTATAAGCAGCTTCTTCTATTAAGCCTCTTTGTTGATTACGACCCTTGGATTCTTTACTACCCTGAGCCTGCCCTCCAGGGTGTTTATCACTCAAAGACGCCTTAAAATTAGCACAAGAACCCGGGGAATGATTTTCATGACATCTCCAACACAGCAAACTTGGGTTTCTTTGCTCCGAAGGTATAAGAGCTTTTCTATCTACTTCTTTTACTTTTCTGACCTGCAAACTCTGGTCAAATGCAGTGCTCTTGGTCAACTGAAGCTGATTATATTTCCTCTGATGATCATAATCCCTTTCTATTTGAATCCCTAGCCTAACTAGTTCCTCGACAGTGTACACAACCTCGAATTTGACTAGCGTCCCATGTGTTGTTGAAAACAGCTTCATCAGCAGGTGACAGCTCTCTCAGGAGGTATCTGCACGCATCTTGCAACTCAACATTCGCGTTCACTTCCTGATGAGCATGTTCATCATGCACTGTCAACTTTGGAAAAACGACTGCATGAAAAGGCACCAACTTTCCATAGTCAGCCCTGTGAGGATCACTGACTGGAACCTTTTAACTGAAACCCCAGCGACCCCCAGCACCTTAGGGTCCAGCAAAACGGGGAGTCTTTGTGCGATGGAAGGACGGGGATCGCATTCCAATGAAGCCATGAGAGAAGGCAATGCAACCTGAGAAGGTTCAGCACATGAAGTCGAGGCCGTTTTGAGCATTTTGACCGCCGTGGAAAACTAGTCGCTGTTCACAATGACTGGGGGTGTCCGCATCGGATGGCACAGCACCGCTCACAGCGGGAGAATGGGCATGGCTTTCCTTCAGTTGGGGCATCTGGGTTTGTTCATCATCACTGCTGCTGAGAAATCGAAATCTCTTCCTTTTTTTGGTCTTATGGGGGAGAACACCAGAGAGCTGGTTGCTAGATGAGTCCAATGTTAGATTGATTACCACATCATCATGG